GAACTGGAAAGGAAAACCGAAGGCAACCCAACGCCCCTCCGGGGCAGAAGGGGGCAGCGCGCGCGAGGCGGAAGGAGAGTCACTCTCGCTGCACAAACTTTCCCGCGGGTCGCGCCGCGCGTGCAGGGTCTGGACACCACTCGGCGCCAGAGCCGGGCCTGAGGAGCGGGGTCTGGCGGGGAAGGAGGGCTGCCAGCCTGGGCGGTGTCATTTGTTGCTTCATTTTTCATTCCCTTTCCTCTCGTGAGGAATCAGAGGCATCCGGGCCGCGGGCTGAGGTTTCTTAAATTCTCCCCTGCCGCACTCGGCCGAGCCAACCCGCAGTTCCTGTCCGCCCCTCTGTCCCCCGGCAGCGGTTTCTCCCGCTAGCCAGGTTTGGAAGTCACCCTCTGTGAGACTGGGCTAGGGTTAGGAAGTGATGAAAAGCGCCGAATTGTTTTCTAATTGAAAATACTTTTTTTTTTTTTTTTTTTCTTTTTGGAGATAGCGTTGACAAATATATGGGATCCCGGCTTTTGATCCCTGGCTGCGGCCTCTGTTCTCCTGTCGCTAATAAAACTCGCATTGAGCCCCTTAGTGCCTTGATTAACAGGCAGATTAACTCTTACTGGGGTTGGGAACAGCTTGTCCTAATCAATGTCATTTTAAAAGCCCGTCAGGATGCGCTTAGCTCTGGTTCCCTGGCTGCTCCAGCGAGCCAGCCATGACATTTGCTCCCTCCTCCTCCCCAGCCTCAAATCCCCCAGTAAAGCTCCCAGTTCCCGCCTGCCTGTTCCCAGGTCCACAACGGGACAAATCGCAGGACCAGGTCGTTGGCCTTTAGAACGGGCAGCGGTTTAGAGAGGGGATATCCAAGGAGAAGAGACTGAGGTGGCCTTGGCTTGCTTGCTTTTCCTTTGAAGCTGAACTCTTGCTTCTTGGGGGCAGAGGTCACAGGGAAAAGAGAGATGAGGGGGATCGTCTCAGGGTGATGAAATGGAAAGCAAACTTTCCTAGGAACCCTATTTGCAAAAATCGGAGAGTGCCGCTGATTCCAATTGTTCTACAGGTCAGGAGTTTTAAACCTAGCTCCTATCTGGACAACAGCATGGAGGGACTGGGAGGCAAAGCCTTGGGAGTCTGACCCGCTGGGCTGCTAGGAATCCCTTTGGTGGGAGACTCCACTGGACAATGTTATTTTAAAGGTATTTCGGGGTGGGCAGGGAGAAGACAGAGAGAGAGAGAGAGAGAGACAGTGAGAGAGAGAGAGAGAGAGAGAGAGAGAGAGAGAGAGAGAGAGAGAG